GAACACCTTTTTGGTCCAGAACTACCTGAGATGACGCAGTCGGTCACAGTGTACTAGCGACCAAATTTCCACTTCAGCGTGGAGATGTCCATTTTCTGTCCTTTCGCTTACATTTCCACTATGTTTCACTGACAATGAATTATTTCCATGCATTGGGTTACGTGACGATATTCCGTTTTCGACATTCTTATTTGATTACAAGCATGACGTGCATTTAATGCAACCACGAACCTTTGGGGCAGTGAAATCAGTCAAAAGTAGCATTTTACTTCAGAACATTTCCTGACTACCAGCTTATCAAAGAAACGAAACTTACAAAGGAAATTCAAAACATCGCTCTAAAGGCCTCCAAACAGGGGACCAGTTTCTATGGTCTGTAAGGGATAAATGAGCTTTAAATTCTTACTCTGATTGGCTACTTCTATTCACTGGTTTATTTATCTATTTGATAAAAGACTGACACATGGCAGCCAGAAGGCTGAATTATAGTCATTACTAATATGAAACATAAACAAAACTGAATACAAATACATAAAATAATTATTACAACCTAAAATAGATAGTTATATTTAAAAATGAAACCAGTTGAAGAAAATAACAACAAGAACAGAGCGGCTGGGAGGCAAGTAAAATGTACAAGAGAACAAAGAATGTTCTGGCGTCTAGATTCAAGTGTCAGTAGGTTCAATTTATCAATAGCGTCAAGATAATTTACATATTCAAAACCCAGAATAACACGACAAGCTCTCTTCTGTACCTGTTCTATTTCATTATTTTGCTGACCAGTTACTGAAGTATGCCACACTTGGCTCTCATATTAAAAAATAGGTCGTCTAAAATAACTCATTGACATTAACGATTGTGGTTTAAGACAGAAACTGGTATGGAATTCTCCAAATTCGCTTTCTCTGGTCAGCTTTCAAATTCAATTTTTTTGTAGATAATTTTATTCCGACTCGACAACGCATCACTTTATGAAAAGAGGATTATTTGATTTCGAGTATGTGGCCCGTTATACAATTCGGTAATGCAGTGTGGAGACAATGAGAAAATGCAAACATTAACAATTCCTGTTATCAACTCAAGTAAAAATTTTTTTTAAATGCATTTCATTTTTTACCAAGAGACAAACTAAAATCGGGCCACCTGGATTCAAGTCATCTAGACGTGACTTAAATCAATTCACCCCCTCGAACCACGTATTGCACGCGAACTTACTCTGCAGCTGGCTTCGTCATTCGTGCTCGAACTAGCAAACGTAGTGCGGCCTGTTAGCTCAGTGGATTGTCTGACAGTACCAATGGCCTTCAGCACGTATCCGGATTGACAACAGCACTGTAGAATTGAAATGACATGAAAGGGTCAAAACGAACTGTCAATAGACACTTCCACAAAAAAGCTCAGTTAAGTTGGTCCCTCACCAACTCTGGGCATACACACTTAAGAAGACAGCTATTTATCTGAACTCTGCGCACGTAGAGTGGGAGTTGGCAGCTACATTTTTATGGTGTCACAATTATAGTAATAAGATAGGGAACAATGGCTTAACGTTACCACGTACTGTACAGCGACTGCAGTGCGGATGTACCCATATATCGGGGCAAATGACTCAAGTCTAGCGGTTTGGAACGCGTCAGCCTACATGTATAGCAGGCGAACATAGAGTCCACACGACATGGTGACCCTACCAGTTTCAGAGCTAATGACGTATGCAGGACGTGCATCTTTCAGTTGCGTATTCGGTTTAGGGAGGGTGTGGGAACACTCAGACAGTTGTCACTTTTGCCCTGGAAATGAAAGGCAGCATTGTGGTGCCAGCATTTTAGAAACGGCACCACCACCTGGAACGAGGAATCGTTTACGAATGAAAAAAAAACCAAAAATCAGCAACATTTTCATTCCTCCAATGCCTAGTTACTCGATGATCGTTTCAAAGCAAGAGCATATTCACCAAAGCACGGAGACAGTGTGGGATCTTTAAATGGTCTACAACAATAGTACTGAGGGGTCTTTAAATGTTCTACAACAATAGTACTGAGGGGTCTTTAAATGCTCTACAACAATAGTACTGAGGGGTCTTTAAATGCTCTACAACAATAGTACTGAGGGGTCTTTAAATGTTTTACAACGATAGTACTGAGGGGTCTTTAAATGCTCTACAACGATAGTACTGAGGGGTCTTTAAATGTTCTACAACAATAGTACTGAGGGGTCTTTAAATGTTCTACAACAATAGTACTGAGGGGTCTTTAAATGTTCTACAACGATAGTACTGAGGGGTCTTTAAATGTTCTACAACAATAGTACTGTTAGTAATACTGTTACTATTATTGTGCGAGAACATTTAAAGATTCACACTGTCTCCGTGCTTTGGAAAATCCGGTTAAATTAAACTTTTATTGATGTAATATACAAACCGCTTTGCAAACCTTCACCATTCATCATGGATGCATACTCCAAAGTGATCGTGTGAGTCAACTACTTTACTAAGCCACGCGTCGTTGTCATATGTCAGTGTAGCTGGTGACCCACTTTTTGAGGTCAAAATATAAAAGCCCATTTTGATGGCTGTGAAAAGACCTTCGGGCTGATAAGCCCTTTCATGATAGGCCAAAGTTCGCAGTGGAAACGCATGGGTTGCTATCTCGTTTCTGTTCAATTTTGAAGCTCGGTGTTGCAACCTAGTTCCTGCCAAATCTCAGTTTTTCAAGGTGATGGAACTGTGACTTTGTGCTCTGTCATTTCAACTGAAACCATTTTACCGAGCCGAATACAAATGCGTGGGTTGGCTCCCTACTATTGACGTCAGGAAGAACAAAGGCGGGCATTGCCAGGAAAGCTTTGTATTCGGCTGGGTAAAATGGCCGCGAGTGGATTCCATGACTCTATAAGCTCAGCTGATTAAGGGCATTGCGATTTCAGATTTTATTATACACGTCCGTGCTCACAGGTTTGAAGGGACGAACTGTGGCATTAGGGATGCAATAAATTACAGAAACGTGTCACCGCCGTACGAAGACCTACAATCATTGACTCTGGTCAATACAACTCTGACGATATGTCCCTCGAAACCTTAATGAAGCGTTGAGAAAGAACTTTTGGCGCCGAGTAGACCTTCGCAATCACGCGTGCCACGGTCCTTTGGCACTATTCGATATCTCAGAGGTTGGTGTATATAAAAGATCGTTATTCATTTCAGGAAAAATCCCAATTTTACGACCCCCGGACTCAAAACCTGACACAATCATTTTTGCATTTTTGAAAGGGATCGGCCCCATCCTACCGTACCACAATGGCTTTGGCACCAAGCTTTTATAGCAATTCTTGGCCATAGACCGCTACCTAGTATCCAAGAAACAACTTCAGTCATTTCCTTCTAAGTAACTTTAATTTGAAATACTTTCTGGCCGGTTTCATATTGCATGGGGAAAAGATAAAGGGGACCTTCATTTTCTTCTGGGAAAAAAAGTTAATCATCCATCTATCTTCGGAATAAATCTGGAGACATTCTGTGCCGTGACGACTCCCAACGTGGGCGGAGCTGTTACACAGCCCTGACTTCTGTGTGAAAACTTCAGGAAGTTGTCCTTTGTCGCACGGTAAGTAAACAATACCAAATATAGTCTATGAAAGATTTCCTTGGAGCCATTAAAGTTGTTTCGTTTGAATTCAACTCTTGATGGATTTGGTTCATTTGTATTTTTGTCAACCACCTGTTCCATCTGTACATTTCCTTTAAATTAATGTTCCCAAAGGATTTCTAGTTAGTTAATTTTTAAGATGTCGTATTTGCAAAAACAATTTCCATGATATTGCCACAATATCACCCTTTCCTTAACTTTTAAACAGAAATCAGATCATTTAAAACGGGCAAACCAAAAGTGGAAAAACAGGCATGTGTAATCGGGGCGGGAATTTTCAAACAGCTCGTTATATTTTGCAAAATATACGTTCTAAATTCAGCTCAATTTATTTAACGATGAACCTGTTTCGTCTAACAAGGGAATTTGCAAAGATCTCCTCATAATCGCTGATTGAGCATATTCATTGTGACTAGTCAGCAGAAAAAGCTGCGTCCGTGTTTTTCGAAATAAAAAATCTGGCTGTCGTGGCAACGGCATGAACTCGGAGTAATGTATCATTTTCGATCGCAAACACACTCGTAAACGGTGTTATCAAGAGATGGATGAAGGCAAGAGCGAGAGGCCGCGAGGCGCGACGATACTGTGTCAATATTGTCCACTTCCGCTGGGCCTTAGGTTGCGGGGCATATTTAGTTGAGCTCTTGCCTTCCCTTCGTGGATATGCGTCATTTATTGCCGACTTCGGAGACTGATCTTTAGAGTAAAAAAAATATGGGCGAAATCCTTTAGAATAATGTTGTCTTTGATGCAACGGGTAGTGCCGTAGCTAGGATTTTACAAGTGGGGGGGACACAAAGGGGGCACCAGTATCTTATGGGGGTACCAGTTTTCAGTGGTATGGTTTTTGGGGGGCAGGTTACATTTTTTTCAGTGAGGAGAGGTGCACCTAGGGGCACCGGGAATTTGTGGGAGGGAACGTGCCCCCCAGGTGCCCCCCCCCGGCTACGCCACCGGCTACGGGGGGGGGGAATCGGCACACTGCGCACGTTGCACGCGCAAGGGAGTGTGCTGGAGTTATCTAACAAAAGCACAGGACGTTGAATTAATGATTAAATGGTTTCAAAAAAGTCAACCGAGTCGTCATGTTTTACTACTTTAGCCTGTTCTGATACACATCTGTCCCAGTGTTTCAGACATCACGCAACGTACAGGAACATTGAGAACTTACCCGCGCAGTTGGAATTCTGTTTCTGGGAGTTGACGACATGCAGTGACGCGCAGAGACATGAACTGTTTGAAGCCGAGTGAAAATTTGTCAGCTACACACAGAAAGTGACTGCATCAATAAATGCACTTAGTTCAGCATACACTTTTGGCCTAACGGGACAAGTGGTACTGATTTATTACCGGTTTACAGCAATAATGACTTAAGTAATGTATGAAACGTATGAAATTTATATTCAAGAGGTCGTTGCAAAACTTCTTGTTGGCAATGACTCTTTGTAATGCTTCGTCTTGTGGGAGTTTTGAAACTGTCAACTCATCCACAGATGATGGCGAGTCCCTCCCATCTTTGGACGACCGTCATATTGCTGTCATTGTCATTCAGAGCGGCGTAATGGCTGTCATTATGCTCTTAAGTGTTCTTGGCAACAGCTTGGTCCTGGCAGCGATCTACCGGGACGGCCAACTCAAAAATACCGCCTCAGTGTACGTCGCCAACTTGGCCATCGCCGACTTCCTCAACGGAGCACTGGCCATGCCCTTCATCTTGACCTGCAGCACCGTCGGACGATGGCCTTTTGGCGCATTTATCTGCTCCTTCGTCGGGGCGCTGACGACCCTCTTCTGCAGCGTCAGTGTTTTCACTCTGGGAACCATAGCCATAGATCGCTACCTCGCCATCCTGCATCCTCTCCAGTACAACGCGGTGATGACACGCAGTAAAATCATCTTCTCCATTGCGTTGACGTGGCTGCACGCTGTTGTCCTGTCGGCCTTGCCCATCATGGGTTGGTCCACCTATGCCTACATTGACATGGAGTACATCTGCACGGCCGACTGGGGAGGCACTCTCTCCTATACTCTGACGGTCTTCGCCATCGACCTGGGTTTCCCCGTGACTACCATGTTCTTCTGCTATTATCACGTTCTGAAGACAGCCCGCAAGCATTCACGGCAAGTCGCTTCTTGTCAAGTTGGCCCTGCCGGCGTGAACGGCTGTCCGCGTGAGAGGTGCTTCTGCCAGTCCTGGAGACGGCTCAAGTCCGAAATGAAAGCAGCCATCACGCTCCTGGCCGTCATAGGTACGTTCTTGTTCTGTTGGCTGCCGCACGTCGTGACGATGGTTTGTCTCAGTAGACCGCACAACTGTCACTTTCCCGACGCGGTGTTTGCGATCACCACTTGGTTGGCCATGGCCAACTCGGCTTGTAACCCGCTGATTTACGGCATACTAAACAGACAATTCAGGCAGGCTTTTCGAGACATTCTCTGTGTTTGGAAAGCAAGAAGACTGTTCTCACGCTGAAAGCCTCTCCAAAAGTGATGCCCTACTATAAAAGTTGACAATCGACGCCACAATTATAATAAGACATGTAAACAAACACTTTGGGCATGGGCGTTAACAATTACCATGGGTTTTATTGACGTGAATACAAGTCGAACAAAATTCTTAAAAATCGTTTACAAATAAACGTACACAAAGAGAATAAACTCAGCCAACAAATTAATCTGATAACTAAAAAATTCACACAAGGCGATCATGATAAACGAATGGATTGCATACCGAAGTGACTAATTTCGTAAACGTGAAATTAGTACTTCCGACCAAAGAGATCTGAAAACAGACGCGGGTGCGCTTACATTTAAACATAAACTATGACTCCAGAAGCTTTTAATTACTTGTAACTGTTCCACTTTGGAAACACAAATGATGTCGGTAAACTCGAATTCGATACTTTCTAGGCAGAGAGGCCTATCTAAGGTCACGATTATTAAAGTTATCAGTTGATGACGACTTTAGACCAAAATTTGTGGCACGTACATCGATGTCCTGTTTATTTGCACCAAGGGAATGATGTCATGCAGTCTGATAGAAGTTCAGACGAGACGGTTCAAAGCTGCAGTCGTTAGAAATCGCAGCTCTCCAGTATGCTCTCACATGAATTACAACGAGAATTATACAATGACTGGAATATTCGTTGTCATTTTGATCATGCTATGAAAAATGCTTTTTATCTGATGATGCCACTAGGAGAATAGGCGCTGTGGATGACTGCTTATCATGTTGCGACCCGGGCCAGAAAAAAATCCAATAGATGATATGCTCCATAATGACTGACGGTGCCTCCTCTAAGAGTAGGCCTACCTACTCTCCCAACTAACAGCCATGGTTAGGGCGTTCCTGGTAACTGCCTGGTCATTCGCGTCCTGGAATAAGAAGCTCCGGTCACTGGGGTGTTCAAAAAGCCATGTCGCCCATCAAAGCAGTTAACAACATGCTAATTTTCCAAATGAACACTCTTCGACACGATTAACTTCTTGATACAGTGACACATATCTGCTTCAAGGAAATTAGTTTACGACACAAACTGATTTATTTCATGATTTTTAACATGAAGAAATTCGATTTTTTCCCATTTAATTGAGGAAAGTAAATTCGTTAGAAAAGTCCAACCATTGTTTTCATAGTACTCATAAAAAAGCTACAGCTACGACCTGGAGCTAAACTACTTCAGTAATAATGATAAACACTTATATTAATCGAACACATACAAAATCTTTATATGTAACACCGTATTAAAACAAGTACTTCAAGAGGATTTGATTATAACTTATTGATGATAAAATCTTTATGATGCAAATTGACGTAACAGTTTTTACTGAGGTACCTTAACAACTGGACGTTCCTTTTTTCGGTACATATATTCCCGTGCTTATAGAAGCGTGCGTGTGTGTATTTGAGTGTATTTCAACGGGCGCGCCCTTTTAAGTCAGTCCTGCCCTGATACGCTGTGTACCGTAACTGCCAAAAAGCGTGGGAAGCTATATGTCAACATTTTACAATTTATACAATATTAAAAACGAGTAACTTCAGGTTAATTAACACATGTACATCTCTTTCTCCTTACAGGTATTTTGCTTATTTTCATACCTTTCAAACCACCCCAGCAAGTGAAATAGCATTTTACTTGCGTACAACCGAAATGAACGTCACATCTTTGATAACCATCCCAACTGTCCTTCAGTACTCCGTGAGGCTTGCTTTATTTTCACCTCATAAAACTATGAATTAAACACGTGTCCCTGACGGCTAGTACTGATTACACAAGACAGTGCTGTGCATTGATAAGACCACTGGTAAAGTACGGAGGCACATATAGTACACCAAGGTGCAGTCAGACATACGCATTCAAAATAGCTGAATCGAAACTCGTGTTAAAAACACCGTAAAATTTTGCTCTAACCCTGAAAGAGGCGGGGGCAGAATTCCCCCTCCCCCGCTGCCAGATGGTCCGAGAAAGCTCGACTATCCTTAAAGGTTATTATTCCTCAACAATGGAAGTAATTTTAAGAATCATTCATTTGAATCGAACATATTTTGCATTTTGTAACCATAGAAACCATATTAGATTGTAGGCCTGTCTGGTGCCACGCTTTCCACTTGGTATACTACGTGCCCACTGCCTGTGTGTTTTTATCACGCTTACAAAATAGTTTCAAAAACCATCCCCTCACCTAGGGGACAGTAGTGATGTCAGTAGGAAACATTTAAATTCTAAACACACCACACTCAGTACAACATTTTAGTTCATTCCATTTCGACGATTGCGCCACAGAACCAATTTAGTAAATGCGTACAAAAAATCTTGTAATTAAATGCGTTCAGGAAATATCAAGATATTGCAAGATTAAATATAAATCTGGAACAATGGAACCACAAATTGAGCCATTCATGACTTCTCGTGTTGTCTCCAGGCTGGTCCCCTGTGATGCTTAATAGAAGTTCTCCAAACAACCAGCAGTAAAATCCCAAGCCTTACTTATTCTAAGCGTCCAACCAAATAACAGATTGGTTTTCATTGCTCTGTTTTCCTTGATTACATTTTCAGGTTAATCATGATATCTTCTTTAGAGAAGGCCAGAAGAAATAGGAGAATGAAAATTGGGTTGGGGGTTAATCTTTTAATGAAGAAGGCCTCTCGAACAGATAATAATGGGCAACTCACCATGAACGTCTCGATAATGATGCTCTTTCAGATCCACCCTATTACCACAGTCAGTTTAAAGGGTCCATGCGATGCAATTATGAATTAAACTTTAGCCCTGAAAATGTTCCTTCGTGTTTCAGCTAACTTTGTTTGCAAGTTTTGTTTTGCAATTTGACATTAGGTCTATTGGTTATTATTGTTTTGGTTTTCAGGCAACGATTGGCACACTTTTGGTTTAGGCAAATGCAAATTTCCGTGTTCGTCTGCAAATTGTGAGGTCCTCCGAAGGAGAAAATGTGTTTAAAAAACTGCTGATTTTCCGATACTTTGGTCTACTCATTATCCTCCCCTTTGATAACTAATCAAAATCAACGGCAATAAATCAACGAGTAGACCTGTTTCAAATATAGTTTCGATGAGCAGATTTGGGGCTCACAATTTGCGGAGGAAAAAGAGAGAAACTGAACAGTGTCTTTCCCGGATTTACATCATGTCAACAGCGCCCTCGGTTGTCCAGAAAGGTTCAGACGCTTTGAAATGAAAGCAAAATGTATTTTTCAGTTCTCTTGCTCCTTGAAGGATGCCAAACGGTTGTCATACATTAAAAACGAGTGTGGAGATGCAAACGTATGTGTTTCAGACGACTCATCACTTGGACCCTTTAAAGAAAAACGAAATTTCGCCAAACAATAAAAACAAAGATTCTTCATCTCAAGCCCCTTGGAACCTCGTATGCGAGGTAAACTAATGCACAGAAACGGGAACTTCCGCTGACACAAAGAACGACAGAGTGACAAAGCATCAACCTTTAACATATTTCTCTATAAAATCGATAAACGAGGACAATCGTGTGTAGACCACAACCTGACCAGGAGAAGAGCAGCTGGGTGTGCCGCCGCGACTGACCAGTCCGACCTGATACCATTTACCGCCGTCTGACACAACCAGAGGTCCACCACTATCTCCCTGTGGGGCAGGAATTTGAACTGTAGATTAGTCATGCCTGTAAAGACACGTTAGTTCTTGAAAGCAAACTCAGTTTTAGCAAACAATTCCAGGCTCCCCTCCGGGTTTCCAAAATGCTGCTTTGACATCCACTATCACAGCGACGAGTCTTATGCTACGGCCTGCGATAATACACGTATCTATATGACAAATGGAGTCAGCCGCCAGCTGGTGGCATTCGCGGGCGCGTGCAACATTGCAAGCTGGAGCCATGTCTTTCGGACACGGCTTAAGTTAAGTGCAACATAATATTCTGAAGTCCTTGCGAGTGAATGTGATTAGTCACTACGCATAGTCAGTGACTAACTATGCATATTTAATATGCGTACTGATAAAGATTGTACCCAATCCTGCAGGTTACACTGCTTTGTATCTCCCCTATCAGCAAATAACTGAAGTAATTTGGCAAAACTCTGGCTTCCCTCAAAAATACATTGTTTTTCTCGTCATCCAATCCACATTTCATTCCAACATCAGTTATTTCTATCGGTTAAACACACCTTCCGTCAGAAGCATGGGAATCCAACATTCTCCGGCCTTAAACTCTCAAAGAACTATTTCTCTAATCTTCACCAACCTTGCAAGAATTTTGCTCTCCGTGCTGGTTCATGCAGCAGATTACTTTCTCGTTAACATAGACCTTTTCCTCGAAATTCTTGCAGGTCTCGGTGTCAACGATAGTTGCACGGGCCGTCTGCAGCACGAAAGGTGTTATGCCTAATACAAAATCATAACAACTTTGCAGTAATTCTGATGGAACAAGTAATGCAGTGGTGGAGTTTGACAGTGGTGGAGGAGAATGAATTATACATGAGTTATAACGCATGTCTGCAAAAGGGGCATTTTACAGGTAGCGGTGCGGTGTAGAGTGTAGGACCTATTTGGTGGACTCATGCAAATTTCTTTGATCCGCAGAAGCGAGTTGCTAAAATGTGAAAGATGCATGAGGAAAAGACCCCATTTAGATGAACCAAACTTGACCAAATGTGAGGGACTTTGGGCAAGAGAAGATCCAGGATATTCCGAAGGGGGGCGTCTTGAAGTGAAAATTCCAGGGTCGAGGAAGTAAAATCAGGGAGGTCAGGCAAAAAAGGGGGTGTGCCCTCCTGGATCCACCCCTGTGGGTCCAAGTCATTCTGGAAATATTGGCCACAGGCTTACCGAGTGGAATAGTGCCGCCCCAGCCAGTCACAGTCCCCGACCTGCCCGCCTTGGTCAGGTGCGAGTCGTTCCTGGGCGGGAGACACACGGGCCGGACTCGCTCGCTGATGGAGACAGGAACGTCCAGCTCCAGCAGCGCGATGTCGTTGACGTTGAAGTTGATGTAATTAGGGAAAGGGATGCTCCGCCTGCTCTGGCGGATCTGCTCATACCCGTCCGTCCCAGTCAGGTTGACAGAACCCATAAGAACATTCGGTTGTGTAATGCCGCTCCTGGGAGGTTTCGGGGAGATTTAGGAATATACCGTAAGAGCAACTGTAGTTTCCTCAACGATTCCATTCACTTCTTTAAACACACTACAGTATATTAACACTCTAGAGATATTGCTATACTCTTAGATCAGCAAATTGCGAAGGAATACTTTGAAATGTATCACAGACCTGTTTCAAAATTGCACCATCTATAATTGATTCACACTCTAAAAAGAGCTTGGCAAGAATGTAGGATGTCAAAATGACAATTTTCCTCCCAAGGGTTATTCTACGAGACAGCTTGTCCGATAGACAACACAGGAAGCTCGACTGGTCATTCTCATTAAATCTGACTAATTCTGGTTAACTCTGTTGGTATGACGACTGCTTCCCACAGTGTTTGCTGCACTAGTATTGAATGTTCACAATTTTTCTGAATCACCAGTATCGGTGGATGAATTCCTTTTGGTCAGCCCATGTAAGACGGATTGAACACTCCTTCCTCGCAATGACTTATCAGGCCTATGGACAGGCTGATTTGCCCGGTGATAAATTTACTACCCAGTATAACGCATGTGTCAAGGTAAGTTGTCATGATCACCGAGATGGACCTAGCAACAGAGGCTCCTTTTGCGAGAACTGCACTTCGCTGGTTAACGAACGACTATGCACGCGTTACAGTGGCATCGCTACCGACAAAAATGAACTCTTCCCACCAACATGGCTCTTTACAACTGATGAAGGGGTGCTTCTGCTCAAGGCGAATACTCACGCGCAATGTCCAGCTGTGATGACCCATTTGTTGGATATGAGGGCGCCCCCACAGAAATGGTCGACAGTATCTCCCCTAGGGTGGCTGAGGGAAACCATCCAAGGCGCTTCCCCGGGGACCACGTCCCTCCCGTTCACTATTCGTGGCATCTGGCCCAGTGTGCCACAGTCTGAGAGATGAAAAAATGGATAAAGCTGTGGTTCGGGAGGGCCCTCGCGCACTGAAGCTACAAGAGCTGTACATATACCGGTTCCCTGACGCACTTGCTGCGGTGTCCCCGTCACTCAGGGGCGCATTCCTAAACTTGACGCGTGAGTAATTTTGGTATCCAGTGCACTTCCATTGATGAGGAAGCATTTAATGCGCGAATCTCATCTGTTCATGAGTGTATAGGGACACCGCAGTAATGGCTCCTAATTCTTGTCACCGGATAGGTCTATAGAGAGCGTAGCGCTAGCTTCAAATTTTGGAAACAAAATGGCTGTTATGTATACAGCAGCGCGTGCACTGGTGCTAACACCTGTCAGCTTGTCCAAAAGTAGTGACACTTATGTCGCAGCTCTCTCTAGACTCCTGGATATTTATACAGAAAAGTCAACGAAACAGCAATAGTTCAACCGTGAAGACTTCCTCTGGTTTCAATCACGTGACTGTGGTGGCTGCTGCGCATTGAAAGACCTGTCAAAAATTTGGTCTGGGAAACCAACTGACTATTGTAACTACTTGGATTGGCCATGTAAGTACGTTTTGTTTCTGAAAATTCACATCTAGATACCTATCACAGACAATTATAAAAAAGTCAATATTTTACCCCACTTAACTCAGGGAAAAACTGGTATTATAATCGATTTGCAGTAACTGTTCATGGTATAAACTAATTCCTCCTAGACAATCTTTGTTTGGTTTTAGTTTCCTTTTGCTCTAACTGCATATGGCTGGTAAACAAACCTTGATCTTCGCAGGATAACCGTATGACCTTCCGTGAGGGACAGTTTTCACTGATGAGAAAAAAAAAACAAAAACAAATATTTTCCCGTCAAACGATTACAAATTTGTTCCAAGGATAGCAAAAACAAGAGAACGACAAATAAGCCCAGTGCTTCGAAAACTTTGGTAAAACTCTGTAAATAAACTGACCATTAAAACGCTGATTTCAATCCGGCTAATTTTAAGAATTTTTTACTGATTTGGGACCGATGGTCCAATATAGGAAAATAGCATCACGAAAAATGCGATTTTTATAGCGAAACTGTAGTCACGTAAGAGATCATACTTCACAATAATGACAAAAGCTTTCTCTGTTTAAAATGTTTACATGAATAAGTTACTATCAGTGTAGCCACTTAGCAAGATAACAATAAATAAGTGAAACAATGAGTCAACACATCACAAAAATGACAATGTAATTTAATACTCACAAATGCGTCACAAGTGTGTAAAGAGCTGGCTTGGGGCCTTGGGAAAAAAGTTGTGCGACTGCCTTCTCTTGTAGCATGTAATACCCGCCTGTGATTGGTCCAACTGTGCTGACGTCATCAAAGCTGGTCTCATTCATGTAACTGCAGTTGAAATAAAAATGGACTCACTTACATATTGTGGAATGTTAGAATGGTAAATTTGACCTCATAAAGTGAAGTTGGGCCACCTCAAACCTTTGAAATGTACGTGGTTCGTGAGCAACGTAATAATTGTCACGTGAACTACAGTGGGTACCAAACATCAGCTGTCCATTTTGTTGGTAGCGGCGTGACCGCAACGCTTGCATTTCATAGGTGTTTGTGAACCAGCAAAGTGCAGTTCCTGCCAAAGGAGCCTCCGTCGCTAGGAAACTTGCGCCCAGTCTCTTGGTCCAGCTTGGGGCTCATTCCTCGAATAGAAGGGAAAACTTGAAATGAAACCTATTCGCGCTCTACTAACCCATAGCCGTATTCATTACATATGACGTCGGCAACTTCTTCGCTCCACGTCTGTGCATCGTAACAGAGATACTTCTCGTCCCCTTCAATGGTAACCTTCACCACACCTTGCCTCCTGTCTGCTGTTTCTCCCTGGTTCTCCAAGCGAACTGCGGTTAAATGTACGTATGACGGTATCAGCAAATATCACCTTTGCTTTACTACAAAGGTCCTATCTAGTTGGTATGTTTTGGACTTCTACTTGAGACTGTTTTTTGAGAAACTACATTTGAACCCCTAAGCTTTGTGAAAAATTTTGAAATATTTATTTCTCAGAAAAGTTAGATCATGTTTACACAGCTGAACTAATGATTCGATTGGTCAAGCCTTTTTTCTTTAAACTTATATGCAGTTCAGAAGCCATTCTGGAACCCAGAGAGTGAGAATTCTCAGCTGAATGAAAAGATATACTCACGGCACTGAATCTCGTCTGAGCCTGTTTTACAGTCTGGTTTTTGGTCGCACCAATTGGCTGACATGATGCATATATCGAACTTTGGTGAACACCGTTTCTTGTTCTCGGGGCACACTTCAAATAAAAAAAGAAACGAAACAGAGAAATGGACCCATCAGCAAAGCCATCATGAAGATGATATGTGTTGCGACATCACGGCAGGTTAGCAGTACTGAAGGGCTCCACGGACAGGTATCCCAAACTAACTACTCGATTGACCTTACCAGGGGATCAGATAGGAATTTTTCCAAAGCAGAATTTTCTCTCACAACACAATAGCTGGGTTTTATCTCTGTTTTTTACTGCCTATCTAAGGGTATTTTTATCTACCCAGTATGAGTTTTGCCTCTGTAATTGACGGGTGTACATAGCTTTACATGTCTTGGACATAGCAAAGATTTGCGCATGTTAGGGGCATGTCATTTGTTCATCTAAAATGTAACTTAAATACAGTGCTTTTGTACGCATTAACGAATGTACACGTATACTATGGGAAGGAAGTAGACTGTTCATCCATTGCCGTACCAACTCCCCCTAATTATGAAGGCGGGAACCCGAAGCTTGGCCCAATCTGTGATCTCTTCACTGTCCCAAATTAATACCGGATTATGTAGACCAACGATGGAAAACTTTTCACTGATTTATTCTTGGAAGGCCGCTTTCATCAACGTCCGATATACTCTTTAAAAACAAGGAAACGGTACTGATGTTTTAGTTAACCAAGTGCCCTGTTTCTTTTTCGCGCAGACCCATTTGGCAAACGAACAACGGCTGGAAGTTCTTACACTGTCTCATTTGGTTCCACAGCTGCTGAGGGCTGAAGAAGTGAGTCAAGCCCTCGCCTATTCAAAATAGGTTAGCTTGCTAAACACGGTGCCTTGTGATCCTCAGCAATCACTAGGGCCCACTTGGTAACTCGGGATGTCGATCAAGAGTGATGCTGCTATGCAGTCACGATGCATTTAAAAAATAGTTGAACGAGTTAACAATTAACGAGTTGGCATACCATTTTCTAAGGCCTTGAATAGGAGATCGAAAGTCAGGAAGTGCAGCTCCGTTTCGAATTTGACCCACATGGTGTTGCCACTGGCAACTAGCGCCTTGTCGACTGGGATGTCGTAGGGTTCCAGCATCTTGCTGTTGTCCATCGGGTCGTGCCCGTTTCCCACCTTGATCCTGTCCCGCGTTGGGTGATCCTTGAGCTTGGTGACGGTGATTTGGGTGTTCGGAGGACTCGTGATGAGCCACAAGCAGCTGGCCGGAAGACCAACAATCGCTGGGAAGGTCAGCGTAAAATTCTGGCCGACCGCGGTGAGTTCAATTTGCCTGTCACCACAGGCTACATGTCCGGAAAAAAAATCACATAGACACGAAATGATGCGATGTTCAATGAGCATCCGACTTAAATTCTTTTCTTTTTCTTTTTTTGGAGGGGGGTCAATGGCACCTGTAAATGATACAGCTCGACCAAATCCAACAGGGGTGAATTAGATGTTCCCTAGGCCCTAGGTACCAGCGTTCGGTAGGTCCTACTTTACCCTTAGCACCTGGATCAATTTCGTTGTTCCGGTAGACATTGAGGCTTGGCACTTTATGATAACACGACGTGTGAGACCAAACTTGTAACTCTAAACGCTTTGAATAAAAACCTTTTGTGGCAGATCTCCAATAACTCCTTAATATTTGCTGGAGTCCTTTCTTGGAATTTTTCAACAGTTGAGTGAAATGGGAAGGGACAGACATGTATGCACTTTAAGCTTGTCCTACTTTACACCGCAGGATCGGTAAACGTGCAAGGATTTCCTCTAGCACTTCACGAAGGACGTGTACAGTGAACTGTCGCATTCGTCGAAGCCCCCGATTCTTGTTTTTTCTCCGTTTAACCTAAGCGCAACGCGCCCGCTGGATAAACTGGCCCTGCAGTCCTACCTTCATCTTGGGGAGGGATTGTCTTGTCACAATCTTCCTCATCTTCACCATCCCTACAGTTGACAACGCCATCACAGACACCCACCCGAGGAACGCACTGCTGGTCAGAGGGGCACTGGAAGGCGTCCGCTGGACACTCGTGATAAATACCCACTGAAAAGCAAGATAAAACAGCACGATTTCGAATGACAGTTTGGTTATAAATATACGGGCAGTATTCATACACTTGGAAAGAGGCTGCCAGCCAAAATTGCCAAATACTTAAGTAGTGTCTGGTTGGTTAACGGCGGCGGAACGATTTTCAAAGAGGGGGTGGCAGTTGGGAGACCATCAGGCATCAGCCATCAATAGGCCGATCCATTAAGCCCCACCCTATAGGACCTGCAAAAAGTGGAGGAGGGCATACCTCCCGGTCGAAAAAATGGATGGGGGGCGCTGGCCCCCTTGCCCCTCCGTTTCTGCCGCCAGTGGTTGGCTTGCTGTTTAAAAGTGCTAAACCCTCAACCATTCCAACTTTGCCAATCATTTGCAAACACTTACTGGTTGTCTGTGACTGCCTACTGGTTGTCTGTGACTGCCTATCGACTACTTGCAACTGCTTACTGTCCATCAATGAGCTGCTTGTTTAAGACTCACTACAAGTTGTTTTTGTTTACACCGATTATTTTAAATTGTTTCCATTTGCCTCCAAATGTTTTTCAATATTCTGTAGCACTCTTACTCACCAATTGCCTGCAACTGCGTAGTGATTGTCTGCAGCTACTAGTACTGTGGTGACGTTTGTGGGGCACAACCAAAAATTGGTAATTGTAATTCGCCTGAGATTTTCTTCGGACGAAATTACTCTGGAGCAACACTCAAATCCTCCAAGCGATTAACTAAAGCGAAACAACCAAGTCACACTCACCGCAGTCAGTTTCGTCACTCCAGTCCGAGCAGTCAAAATAACCGTCGCAAAGTCCGTCTGCCGAAATACACTGCAAATTCTCACACTGATAGTAGTTGCCGGGACAAGCTGAAGAGAAAAGAGGCCAGGAAAACATTCCCCGATTAACCTCGCTGAAGATGCCCTGGTTGATGTGGCAGTCGAGCTGCCGCGACAACGACCAATACCTTGTCAACAAAATCCCTGTATAGAGCAGATCCTGTCTTAGTAGCAACAGAACTAAATAAGCCATAAGCAGCGACTACAGAGGACTTACAAACATTAGAACAGACTCCACACCAACTATGAGGAATTCATTGCAAAAAAATAGCTCGCTTGACACCATCAGCAAAGTGGTTATAGTGTGACAAGTAAGCCTACATCACACTGCACAACACAGGTGTGTTCAACTGAAATCGCAAGGGAGCTGACCCCTGTTGGACCAGCCGCTCGTAACAGTGTAATAATTAGGCACCGCCTTGTTTGCAAACTAGATATTTCTCCCTTAACCATGATTTCAGCCACCTCTAACAAAGTCACAAAGCTGCTACAACAAATCTGGCGAATCTACGCGTGGAAGGTGGGCACAGGGCGACCTTCGTTTTGGGTAAGACATGCTCACGTACGAGGGCAGTCGCTTTCGTCACTACCGTCGTTGCAGTCCGTCGAATTGTCGCAGAAAAGCCAGAAAGGGATGCAGTATCCGTCATCACATGGCCGTTTCCAATTAGGGCAGGCTGGCAACGAAGTAAAGACAAACATATCCCTTAAGTACATTTCACTCTTAAACTCTTCAATTTAGTTATGAATAAATTTAAATATACCAGGGCATGTATTTCCGATGCCCCCTCTCCCAATTTAAGCACCAAACAATACCAATGACATCGCCTGGTGTCCAATTTCAACGGAGTCAGGTAGTTTTAGCAACAAGCCACAGTCGATGTTGCCTCGGGTAAGTATCTCTGTAGACACCTGAACTGTTTCGAGAGTCCTTAAATGTTTCCTTTTCCTAAAATGATGTTTCCTCGTGTTTATAAACAAAGTTACATTTTGCAAGGCATGCATTGAAATCTATAGGCCTGCTTACTACAGTTCACTTCGTCACTACCGTTCGCACAGTCACTAGTGCCGTCGCATAAATAGTTGACGGGAATACATCGCTCCCCACAGTCAAACTGTCGACCCTCGACACATGCTGACAAAGAAATAGGAAAAAAAGTTAAAACAGCATTTCTTCAGGAAAATCTCGTTGAGATGTGACATTATTGAATTGACACAGAGTGTGAAGAGTTTAAAACTCCTCTCAAGTGTGTGGAAACTGTCTCACGTCCCTATATGGTTAATCTTTGCTTGCACATTTGAAAGTTTTATTTCCTCTCATGAAAATTTGGATGCCCCATGATCCAATGCAAGCAGACACCATTCAGGTTTGTTCATTTGCTATGGTGTTTGGCGTTCAAACTGTTACAGCAAAACGTGCTCATTAAAATGATTTTTTTTATTCTGCAGTCATGGATTACACAGCCGCAAATCACAACAGGAAATAAGACTTAAAGCAGATAATACCAAATTTTCTGGCTGATGTTGGAGCTGATGATGATGTACATAAAATCTTTAGTGGGGTGGCTCTTTGTAACATCGCACTTTTTCCTCTTTAAAAATGAGAGCATATATGTACATATTGTGTAACGATAAAGCTGCGCCACACTGTTCTTGAAATAGCAAAACGGAAATCCACAATTATGGAACACACTGGCACACTTATACATACGGACTGCATTTGGAAATGTCTTGCACTGCCGTTTAAACATCCCAGCAATGAATCTGCATGCGACAGGAGAGGGCGTTGCTTACTTACAGCAGTTCAGCAGTTCATCCGCGTGATTGCTACAATCGTTGAAGCTGTCACAGAGTACCAAATCGTTCACAAAGATGCTGCTCCCTTCGTCACACACAAACGCTGCGTGGTAAGATACAAACAGGTAGAGTGTAAGAATTCCTGGTCGCCTAAAGTCAAACTCCATTTAATCTAGTTCAAAATAAAGTGCAATGAATATGTACTGCCTACATGTATTGCCCTGAAATTAGGAAACAATCAAACTGCATGCTTGGGTGTGGCTTGGTCCGAACATTGACCTGTGAAAGTTTGAAGCTTGTACAGTGGTCAGTGGAGTAGTACTCGGTGGGAGGTAAGGGTGTATTCTCACCCGTCTTCCCCCATATTTCCTAACAAGTGCTTGTACAAAAGTCCTTTTTTGGCAAATGTCCTTCATTCACGCCTCATGAGCGAAATTGTACGCTATAGAGACCGCCACAAGAATACGAGAATAACATATGTTGCTTTGAATCAAGTACAACTGAGTGAGAGTTTTGATGGTCACACTGACTGCAATTATCCTCGTCGGTGTCACAATCGGGGTAGCCATCGCAGATAGCTGCCCGGTGAATGCACGAGCCATCATTGCACTTCACTTGGTCGTAGTAGGGGCACACTGCGGGAAACGAACAGCAGACAAATACAAGTATTCACAACCTGGAGTGCTCACAAAAAAACCTTTCGATTCACTTGGGTGTGGGTGGGTGGGTGTGTGCGATTTTGACTGGTCATTCTGACAACTGCAAGGTGTGGGAATTCTTGCAAGAACAGCCAAGGGCCCAATGCTGGCCCAGTGGTGTAAATCTGCGTTAGAAATGGGGGGAATGGAAAAAGGAGAGAGGGTGACTTGCCCGGCCATGGAAATTTGAAAAAATGGGGGGGGGACACCATAAACACCATATAGGGGAGCGATGTCCATGATAAAGATGTAGATATGTAATAATGCATATCAAATTCATGCAGAATCTTACATCAGAATGGCATTATTGGCTTTTCAAAATTGCTTTCCCTTAGTCGTTGGGAAATTCTGAAAATGTTTCGCAATTCATTCATTTTTTTGCTCATCGCAAAATAAGTGGGGGATGATTCAATAGCCCATCCCCTTACCTCAAAAGGTGTGTGGGTAGGGGATATATACCCCCATCACCCCTCCAGGATTTATGCCCATGGATTCTGCTGTGTAATCACTTTGTTAAAAGCTCCAGCACCGCGCGCGGCGGGCTGAGTGCGCACACATTCGCTATACCACCGAGTTATCACAGCAGTTTAATACCACAATGCTTGCCGCCATTGGTAGGGGCCACCGTGAATGACGGTGATAGCATTGCCATTACTGCTGGATTTGTCTACAAACGTCCAGCAGCTGTGGCATTCAAATCTGAACTGCCATTACGCAGGGCCGGATTAGCCAACAGACGGAGCAGACAACGAACCTGAAGGACCAAAAAATAATCAAGGCCTCTAAGCTTTAGGTGTGTAATAACGCACAACAACCAAAATTCTGCGCTCCCGAAAAGTCTCTGTCCAATATTATTCAGCTTGGGAAAGTTCCAACTAGTGCTAATGCCTTGTAAGATGCTGAGCTGGAGTTGACTGTGTAGGGCCTAACTGCACTATGAAACTTTGCGCGACTCCGAAAGTCAGACAAAGGAGCTAAAATCAAAAACTTATGGGTGCGTCACCGTGCGTGTTTTGGTGTAGCAATGCCGTTTAATACTGCATTATTGGGACAATTTCTTGTTAGGAAGTCTGAACTGAGTTTTTAGTCCCAATGATGTCTATATTTCATTATGTGTATGGTCCCTTATGGCACACTCTGGTATTTTCGTTTAGGCCCTCAGACTTTCTGTGGGCCCTCGAACTTTTTGTACGGGGGCGTGTATAGTGGGGGCGCTCTCTTGGGTCTTAACTCCGTGTCCCAAGTGTTTGACCATTTGACTGTGTATGCATTTTCTTTGGGTCGACTTGGGCATGAGTTGAATTGACTGCCTCACCATCACAATCTAACTCATCCTTCAGGTCGTAGCAATCCTCAAACCCGTCGCACAGTCGCGTCTTCGGGAAGCATCCTCCTACGTCGCAGAGAAACTCGTCATCGGCACAGGTCTCTACAGTTGGACGACAAAAGTGGAAACAAAAGATAAGCACATGAGCTTGCGGGGCCCATAGGTCTCTATTACTCGGTTTGGGCTATACCATTTTGACAAAGTTATTTTACTTTATAACCCTTTTCTTTGTTCTTTATCCTAGTGGGCTGAAATACAGTCACTGGCTAGCGCATGAACTTTTGCGTGAAGCCATTGCACATGTTATTCCGATGCACAGTTTCCGACTGGGAGGTCGTGTTATTTAGCGTTAATACGCACAAGTAGCGCCAACAAAGCGTCAACAACTTGGAAATAAAAATTTAAAAGCGGTCATACTAACGATCCAGTCCAAATTTCGAAAAGGAGAAATACTAACGCTTCACTCAGTAGAGCTAATCTGATATATGCTGGTTGTCAAGCAATTAGTCCTGCGTACTGGCCTTGTCAGAAAGCTATTTTTAGCTGGTTTATTCCAGATTAACCAGATACTTACCGTTGAAAGCATCCACTTGTATGACCCGAAAATGAAAGCCCCGAGCCACATTAGCAGTTCCGGTAATCAACTGCAACCAAGCAACGTCGGACTTTACCGTGACGTTGAGCAGCCACTTGCCGAAGCGCGCCTCGTTCCGATAGTAGTACGTCGCGGTGTCCAGGTCTACCTCGTGCCCAGGCCCCATGTAGACGCTGTCGTCCCACATGGACATGTCCTCAAGCACGAATACGATGTACTTGCCCACGTCGGCCGTGAAGAGCCAGCGGCAGTCGAAAGCCCCCGGGTAGCTGTTTGGGTAGTTTGGTGAATACAGGTTGTAGGCGGTGGTGTTAGATAAATCCACCTCGGTCGGTGCTTCGATCACACACCCTACAGGATGAATTCAAAGATCATCAGACAACTGGTTGCAAACTGCACTCCGGAAAAGAGGCAAACTGTCGTCAAATTTGACCGACGAGCAGTCGAACTCACACCCCATTGACTATACAAGTTGTCAGCTGGATGCAAGTTGGATTGCACATTAGGGTGACAATGATGCCTTGGTCTTTGACTTCTCCTTTCAAATAAAGACAAAGCTTTCTTTTCACCCACGTCAACTTTCTGCTTGAAAGGATGTCTCCAAAGCGTCTGGTTGTTGAAAATGTATAGTATACCAGGTTTGCAGCCTATATAGTAATATAAACGATAAGTCTCCCTCGTGTAACTCAATTTGTACCGACAAAAAAAGGATTGAGATGGATTTCCCCAAATCGGGATTATACCCTCAAATGGTGACCTGCACAATCTAGACTCCTCCTCAGCCGCCTTGGGGTAGCGCTCACAAAAGAAGTTCAGCTCCAGCCCGTTGTGCGCGGCGGCATAAGGCCCACTGCACGCGGACTGGACGTCCCGGCAGAAGCCACTGCAGAGATAGTGGGGCGAGCCCGACCTGCCGCACTCCGGGAAGAGGTAGGCGCAGAGGAAGAACTCCAAGTCTGGGTGGCAGTCCATGATTGAGCTGAAATCCATGTAGAAGTCAATGGACTCCTCCGCCGTCTTGAAGATGCTGGGGAAAAATGTCTGGTTGTAAGGGAGGATGGATTGGCACTGGCTCGTGGATACAGCAGCACACTCATCTGACAAAAGAAGGAGGGAAAAAAGATGGTAGAATTATTGGCGAGAAGACGATCGGAAAACGGCTTATTAGAGACGTGAGCAATGACTCTTTAGGTGACAAAGCAATCACTATAGACACTATAGCAGAGAGATTCCGGCTCAAATTTTGTGCAAACTGACAGGTTTCATGCCCTTTCCTTTTTCTTTCTTTTTATCTCTCTGAAGTTTCTGTTTTCTTTAATTTCTCCATTTTCCCCCAGAAGGCTGGGGCAAGCCCTCAACTCCCACTCCCGTAACGCCTGCGAAAAAAATGGTCAGTATTCTTTGGTGGTATTCGACAACAAATACCTAGCCGTAATCTAAACGAAAGGTTTGCGGCAATTTGATCATAACTTAAAGTCGTATCTGTTCGATTGTTCTCAGCTCCATATGCTAAAGTGCACTAAGGCAACCTGCTCTCAACACGCACCCGACGCTCAACACTGCTTCCGGCCGACAAAATACATTCAAATCGACAAAAATTGAAAATAAAAATCCTCTCCCAAAACCACATTAATAGGATTGTGCTTCAAGTTGAACTCTGTAAATTTTGTGACTTGTGCAAATGCTTTGAATCAGGGCAAATGGAGGGTTCCCCGTTATCAAATTTGGCATCCTTTTCAAATATTTACAAATCTTATGACTCCTTACATCTCCGGGACGTAAACTATTCGACCTTTAATTTTTTATTACAATTAGCATTCTTAAATAAAAATTTTAACCCGCACACATGAACTCTTTGTGTAATAATGTGCAACCAATGAATTCGTCATAGTAATTAACACTAAAAAACATGATCAGTAAAGCAACAAGCCTATTGATACTTTCTTTTCTTATTTATAAAGAAGACTAGTGGTACTCACAGCAATTAAACTCATCTCGAAATCGTGGGCAATCTATAATGTTATTGCAGGCGTCAGAATACCTGTAACACTGGGATCCTACTTTGCAGCTAAGATATCCATTCTCCTCACAATCTGCAATGGAAAAAGCGTTGATTAAAAACAAGAAAACCAACGCGGCAGGATAATTGATCGTGCATCGTTTACTCCAGTCCTAATAATCGACTCTGTACGCATTCTGTTTTCTGGGGATGCAACAAGACATAAGCAATTTCCACTAATACTGTCGCATCTGACAGACGTGACAAATTGACAAAGATTTGAGTAATCTGGTACTGCTTCTATATCATTTCAGCCCATTCTGATTGTCCATCTCCTCAAAATCATTTGATGCAAACAATGGGACAGAGACCCCCCCCCTTTGTGTTGGTAAGTGTTATACTGGTATCTCAAGAGTTTTTTTCTGACATGGGGGTTGTTAAGTAGGCTGGAGTGTGTATAGGGATTGGACTTGTTGGGGGGTACCCAACCAAAATTGGGCTCTATCCCATTTTTGTGCCTGGTATACTCAAAATCCTCGTCATGCTCGTCGTGTAGGCCTAGTTGTCCCGCCACCCCATTGAAAATACCATTTTCTGACTAACAAAATTATCCGCGAGAGTAGTGGAGCAATGTATGGGCCAGATCGTGATGTAAATTATTACTCCAATCTAGGCCTATTCTACATTTCCGCTAACACTCGATATGATACCTCCAAGATCCGATCCGATCGAGTTTACCGGTAACGTTTGACGGAGGGTTTCAACATGAGGGAACTGTCCATAGTGATAACGTCTGTTCACACGTTTGTTATAGGTTTGAGCGTTCAACAGAAACGACATCGAAACCCAACGGGTATAAAAATCCCCGTAAATGTATCAACATTCTATACGGGGTTGGAATCAACAATTTTCCCGACTCGGTTCAGGGCTCCCAACTTTTTATACCATTCCCATACCATACGCGATACATCTGCAATGCCCGAGATCTCCCCATGGGAAGTGCTTATTTAGCACTTGTTTATAAAGTAACTGGGATCAGCCTGTTCCACCTTGGGTCCATGCACATTCCTCATGGTCCGATACTGAATAATCAAGAAAGCCATGTAATTTTTTTTTTGTCACTGTCAAGGGCTGGAAAATTGAATCCCTAGATATCAGCTCTGGGAGTCCGAACCACGGCGCGGGGACGGAAAGTTATTGGCCCAGCGGGATATGAGACTTGGGTAAGTTGGTAGGCCAAGAAATATGTTAAACACTCCAGTGGGCTTTAAAGTTCACAAACCAAAAAACAAATGTAATTGCCATAACTTCAGTACTTATCTATAAATCGAGTCGACCTGACCTTGTCTTGTATTGCGCCGATTTCTGACGGTGTGTGACCGGCCGAGTTTTGGCCCAACGATTATATGGTTTCTTTACGTAAAGACTATTCGGGGACATGTGCTTACTTTCACAGTATCTCTCGTCTTCGAAATCGTCGCAGTGCTGCACTCCGTCGCAGACATAGGAAATCGGGAGACACTTTGTTCCTTCATCACAAAGGGACAGGAAGTCCTCATCTAAGCAGTCTGGAAAGTAATTGGGAATATCAGAGCTTTAATCGTGAGACACGAAATGACGAAAGTTATGTCACAACATTTTTTCCTTTCTGGTTCAAAGCCTATTACAATGAATTTTTTCCCTTGCGAACGTATTTATTTGACAAAGATTCTGGGCTAATGAGTAGAAGAAGCCATGACAATACACCGTGAAAACCAACGCCCATTATACACGTCTTTGCGTTAATTATGAACTGTAAGGGTATGAAATCAAACTCAGTTTGGAAATAAACGTGTTTCGGTGTGTTACCACCCGTTAAATATGTTTTCTTGTCTTGTTATTAACACCCGAATGTGTCATTCTGTCATTGTGTCTAAATGTATTAACACGTCAACACGTATTTGTTTAAGAAATAAAGTGTTAGCAGGAAAGTGTTAAAAGGCTTTAAAACAGTACCAGTGCTTGCACACTTGATTTTACAGTGAGTAACTTGTTGGGAAGGAGTGCCATGCACGAACTGTTTTGACGCTGAACTTAGGTTAAACAGAAGCCGTTTAGACCACAAAAGTAGAAAATTAGGACAGGGCATAAAGTCAATTAATGTTCAATGCATGTTTGACCGATCGTATATAGTTGTAGGCTACCAACGTGGCAACCGATTGTGGGTCGGACTATAATCTTACCGACCGTTTGGAGCCTTACCCAGGGGCACAGTTGCATCACTCGTATACCCTTGTTCCATCATAATTTACGTCTGGGGCAGTGACACGAAACAGATGGAACCAGTGGCATGAAATGGGTGGAACCTAATTGCGCCTGCTCATAGGTAGAAAACAATTGCTAACTTGTCAAACTGAACTCTACCGTAGTTAGCGGTCGAACTTGCCAAGAGATGATTGACCAAAGGGGAGTCTCGTCTCTGGTCAGAGACTTACAAGTCATTTGAATTTAAGCCGAAACTGTCCTTGGAATATCTTTTTCTTCCATTTTTGTTGTTATTGTGTATAATTATACAGGGAGCCACCGAGGTCGGATTTTTACATTCTTGAGAATTTTTTGCCAATTATTGACACTGTTAAGGAACACAATAACACTTACCCTCGCATAATGTTTCGTCACTTGCGTCCGCACAAGCCGGAGTGCCGTCACAAACCAACGTGTGTGAGATGCACGTGCCATCATCGCAACGCCACTGGTCTGTTTCACAATCTATCGAGAAAAACGGGAAACATCTTTTGCGGTCTAGTCTGATTTGAGTTGGGATGGCGAATTGTATAGATGTATACCAACAAACGGCGACTGGATCGGCATATCGTGCTACTGTGGATGTGTTCGAGTAGCTCTCACTAGTTGACCTAGGTTCAACCCGTCCCCGCAGTCTCTCGCTTGTTTGGCACACAGCACCAACGGCCACGGCCATCCCCAGGTCAACCCAATAGTCTAGACACTCATGTGCACCCAATTTTGCCCCTCACCATTTCCATTGGAATGGGACGTCCAGACCAGTGAGCAGTTATGAGTTAGTTCGAATGCCAACAATGAGCAAGCCCAGCAATCAATCGTGGGATTGGCTAACCACCTTTTATGGAACTTTGTGAGGGATGTACAGGGCTCACAAAGCATTGTGGGTAACTTACTTAGTGAACAACGAAACTCAGATGAATTAAGTTATTCCGCCTGTTCGTAAAAATTGTATCTGCAACGTTGTCGTGTCCCTTCCCCGTTCAAAAACGAAAACGGTGACCATTGGTTACAGTTTAAAAAGGTTCACTTGTTCTAACTGCTCACTGCCCAGTTGAACAAATTTACTTTGGAAATTTCTGCGCTGGCTGAAGATGAGATTTTGATTGACTTTGACAATGTTATTGAAAAATCTCTGATTAACTTCTTTCTCGGTTTCTTCAAAGACGTGCGGTCTGGAACTAGTCTTGCTCGGTTAACATTAAAATGAAAGGACACCCAAATTTGTTTGAAACTGCCGGCGAATGCGGATAGTGGGCGGGCCGGGGTTAATCTCCTAAGATATCCGAAGCTAGCGGGACACATGTTTTAACCATTTTGACAAAAATTAGGAGCAGATCAATCGTACCGATCGACATCATGCAAAGTCCAGGTTGGGACATATTGCTTTTACGGCTGTTGGACAAATTAGGGTCACTTATTGCTCTCAGTTGACCAGGGTATAAAACGTGAAATCATCTGTTTCCAAAAATGCACTTTGCGTTCGGTAGATGTTCGTTTTCAATGTCTGGATTTTGCCTTTAATCCGACGCAGATTAATTCATAACACCGAATACTCAGTGCATACAGAGTACAATGGGATAGTATCATCATTTGATTCTAGCCGAGCAATTATTCCGCAGTATCTTCAATATGGCATAAAAACGTTGCTGTATTTGTTTCGTTTAAATGTCAGATGCGATATCACACTCAGCATACAAAAGTAAAGCAGCACAAGACAGAGATCAATAGTACACTCAGTTATCACTGAACAAGATACCGGTAGACATTAACGATAAACTGCGCAGTTATATCTATGTTAAACTTCGCTGTTTGTCATTAACAACGTAGATAATAATGATAAAATGCGCAGCTTAACAAGACCCAGACCATGCTTGGTCCAGTCCGATTCAATCTTCAATTAGTCTTCAGAGCCCAATTTGCTTTGGAAGACACGACACCTACCTACAACCGCTACAGGGAAAGTGCACACCGCTTCGTTACCCGACGGGTCGACGGCCCGATACGTGACGTTGGTGATGCTCCCCCGGGGAAACAGGTCCCCCGACCCGTGGGAGGACGTGACGTTGACACGGTCGGAGTCATCAGTGGCTACCGGCACGTCCCAACTCACGCTGATGTTCCCCGCTTCGCTCTCGGAATGGACGGTTCCGATAACTTCAGCGGGGCAGGTCTGGAACACAGGCTTTACATTATCTGCATAAATGAGGGCCAAAAAGATGAGCTTAAGCAAAATGGTTGAAGCTGATCTATAAATAGGACCACTTGAGACAATTGAAAACTCTATAAATAACAGAAGTAACTGCTCCCCTGGAGTACCACAGATCAGAACAGTTGAGATAAACGATGAACACAATTGATATTAGCCGAAGAGTGGTGATAAGGCTCTGAGTGGAGGTCGTACATTTATGGATGCAACTTGACAAAAATACACATGTACTGGATAACTCTAGATGAATAATGGGCATCGAAGCACTGCGCTTCAAGAAGGCCCAGGAAATAGCCTGTGAGCAATCTGGTTGGGGCCAGAAAGATTCTTTTGAAAACAGAAAATGTATTTAAAGCGTGCACAGTGCCTCCACCTTTGCTAGCCTCATGGAGGAAGGAATTGCCTAACAGTAATATCAACTCATACGAATTTTGGCTGCATATGCTTCGTGACATCAAGTTCGCATCTGCCCACCAGAGTACGAAGTCACTCTTTAAGGTCGTATGTGAGCCACAGTGCTTTATGAAGCCTGTAATTCTTCCACATAGTTCCATGAAGGGCATCAGCCCAGCCCATGATATGTGTGCTGGGCTTGGTCGGGATAAAATCCTTTCTGCTAGCTGGTGAAGACGTCCGACTTGGTAAAATAGGTTATCAAAATTGCACAGTGCCAATCCAGCTCACTTCTGCTGATTAGCCAACCAAGTTAAATCAGGCCGGAATGAAAAAGGCCGCTTTTCTCTCCTTTTTCCCCTCAATATATTGTGAACCAGGCCAGTGGCGTCATTTTGTGCCAGAAATTAGGGGATAGGTGTGTTGATCTGTGTGTGTGTGTGTGAGTTTGTTTCTGCATTCAACTGGGGACCCTGAACAATAGAGGACAACAAGGTCCCCGATTGACAAAGGGTCCCCGATTGATAACTCTGTACAAAACATATGGGTGGTCTTCTAAAAAGGTTTAAGTACAAACAAAAGTGGAACAATAGGGGGTCCCCAGTTGCAGGCAAATACACATTTGTGTGGGGGGGTTGACTTGCCCAGCCATTGAAGGGGGGGGG